AAGCAATGAATCCCTTAGCATTTCAGATATTCTGAGGTGTGCTTTCTGGTTCTTGAGTTGAAAGCATCCTGACTGTTGCAGGTAACTTAAAACAGGTTTGGATAATGTTCCATGAATTAGGAAGGAATTAACTTCTATGTTACACATGTACAAGAGTATATTTATATGCATATATGCTCATATAAAATTCTATATATTTACTTATATACATATTATATATTTTGAGTCATTTAGCTTCTGCTACTCTCTAGCACTGGGACTTTGGAAAGTTATCTTTATGAGCTTTGTCATCCTTATCTATAAAATGGTATGGTATTCCTTCATATGTTTCCATGAGGATTAAATTAGATAATGTATATCAAGTTCTTGGTGCAATACCTGAAAAATGACATATATGATATCTATTGATATTATTTTTATATGCAAATGAGAAATATTTATTGAGTACCTACTCAGTGCTAGATCCTTTCCTAGGCATTATATATAATGGTGAAAGAAAATCCAATATGATCTCTGCTCTCATGGAGTTACAATTTGATCAGTGATGACACACATCAAGTATAATTGGGAACTGAGATGAGTGCCATAAAGTAAAGAATGCAGTACCTTGAAATTATGTAGGAGGTGGACCTGGCTTTGCTGGAGTTAGGGAAGTCTCCACTGGAAAGCGGTGTTTGAGCTTGGGAACTGGGATGTAGGGGGCAGTTCATCACTCTGCTTTATATAGAAGAATAAATGGGAAGCAAGCCCGCATGATTACTTGTTACTGGATGGTAGACTTCTAAATATAGGGATTACATTCAGATAATTATCAATTTATTCTCATTTTATGTGCAGTGACTGGCACATAACAGGCACACATAAATACTGTGGACTAAATGAGTGAACTGCTCTGAGTGTCAGTGTCCTGTGACAGAGTGGGAGAGAGAAAGAGGGAGAGACAATGTAAAAGGTCTCCTCTGAGGAGATAAGGATCTAAAGCACCTGAACATGTAATAAGGGTTCAATAATTGTAGCTGTTATTATTACTGCTGTTGGCATTGCCTTATAATTTACATATATTATCTCTAATACTACATTATAAGACTTGGGGTAGCAAGAAATGTATCTTATTTAACTTTGAATATTCAAATGTGATTAGTACAAATGTCTTACATACAATAAATTCTCTAAAAGTTCAGAGAATAATTGATATTTTAAGTGAGGAATTCAGTTGAGAACTTAAAGAAATTATACATCCCACCTTGGTAGAGGATTAGAATTCATAACCCCATTGAAATCAGATTTGACATATAATTTGCTTTAGCCAACTAAATAGGACAAAAGTCATTTTGTGTTGCCCCTAGGAAAATCTTTAAGAAACTGTTCACCATATTCCCTCTGTCTCAGACAGGAAGACCATCATTATTCCAGGAAGGGTCTGCTGCAGTCCACAGTGTGGTCCCAGAGTAATGGAAAGTGGATATTCAGCCAGCCATGGATGAGATGTGTGAGAAATAAACGGGGGTCATCGAATGGCAAAGAGAAAAAGAAAACTGTGTTCCCTGAAAAAATAAATTATCAATGTTAGGTTAACTATTCTCTGTAAGAAATATTTTTTCTCTGTGAGAAATATTTAATGGTAAGTTTCTAGAATACAGATAAGATATATAAGAAAACCTCTAGAAATGGTTGTGAAGACAACCCAGAATCCTATGTATGAGGGAAACACACACTGTAGAACACTGATGTAGGTAATTAAAAATGTGGAGCTGTGACGTCAGCTTCCCCAAGACCACTCGATCTACAGGAATCAATGCCTATCATACGTTCCTGTTTGAGTTCTCTGCATGCCACTTGCAGCCACCTAATACTTTTCCCTGTTGGTTGATTGATTGATGTCTAAAACTATAACAAGAGATTGAAAGTATAAATAAAAGTCTCCAAGGAGTGTGATACAGACTCGGCAAGGGTTTGAGAGGACTCGGCATGGTGATCAGAAGAACTTAGACTGAAATTGTTTATTTCCTTTTAAAAAATAGGCTAAATGAAAAGATGGTAAAATATTACTTATTCTGGTGATGGGCATTTGTGTGCTTGTTAAAGTATCTTTTTGTCATTTACATTTCTCAAAATGAATTTTTAAAAAAGAAAGTCTGAACAGAGAAGAGTGAATTAACCCCTCATAATACTATGATATCTGAAACTCTGAAGTGCTATTATCCATCCTTGAGTATCATAATCATTTTGAGATAATTATTATCAACCTAACTTTTTATGAGAGGAAAACGAGACCAAGATTCATGGAAGGGCTTGCTTCATAGACCAATCAAGTCAGGGCAGTGTTTGGCTGAGCTTGACCTAGGAATGGTTTCTCTTTCAAGAGATGACTTCTAGGTAAGAGGTTACCTATATAGACAGCTAGGTAAGTTTTTAAAAAATAGTTCTGAGGCCTATAGGTAAAGACCTGGGAGACTTAAATCTAAATTGATGGAAAATAAATGAGCAAATATTTTAACACAAATAGAAAATATGCTTCATATGATCTTAAGCAAGTTTTAAAATTTTTTAAGGCTTGCTTTCCTCATCTGTAAAGTAGGGTGATTACCTGCCTCATATAGCTTTTCCAAGGATTAGATTGTATACTGCTTGTGAAAGACACAGCATAATATCTGGTGCTTATTAGATGTTCAATACTTGTGTGTTTCCTCTCACACAAATTACACTGAAATTGCCTTTTTTTTGCAAATAAAAATGATTGTAAATGGTCAATTTCATGAGGTTCATGCGGTTACTCCATAAATGTAAGCTCTGACCCTGCTATTGGCCAGCCCATCTGGAATTTACATGGGAGGGAAGGGAAGATCAGAGTTTGAATAAAAGATAATTGTCTGGAGCTTAGGCTTGAGAGTCTATTTGGAAGTATAGATAAAAGGGATTTTCAAGGATGTAAAGAGGAGTAGGAGATTTCAATTGGCAGAGATAGGTTTACATAATCAGAATTAGGCAGTTACACACTAGACAGCTGCTCAATAGCTTTTGGCACCAAAATATATTGACCAGCTGGGATATCATTAATGCTTAACAATTATATCCTATGACCACATCTTGGCCAATTAAGTTGTCTTTGACCACCAAAGAGTATAATATATTCTGTTGTAAATGCCACATATGTATCCGTGTAGTTCATATTATATTGATGTGTTGCATAATATACACTAAATAGTGCATTTGCTTCTTCAGAACATCATGTTAGATGGTGTAATTAAAGAGGAATAGAATTTTAAAATAAATTAATTTCTTTAAAAATCATTAGTCATTACACTTGGAAACATTTGTGCATGTGTGTGCATGTGTATGTACCGAAATTAAAAGATCCAAATCAAGTAATTTATTACAATGAATCTTTGAAGAATTATTACAGAAAAAGTAATCTGGCTGGGGAAAGTCAATTCTGCACGATCTATGCATACAAATAAATACAGGCAAGAAAGAGGCAATTACTAAAAGTCAGTGGTTGAAAGATTTAAACAGAGGCTGCTTGTGAAGTCAAAGAAACAGTGTCATAGTCCATGAAAACATTTCAAAATGCTTGCAACTAATCTCCCCAAAGTACTCTTCTCCTGAGACAAGGAAATCGAATAAGGGCAAAATAGAAGACATTTAAATCCACAAAATGCCAGAATGCTACATATACTAACGTTTCATACATTTAAACATTCATTCATTCATTTAAACATTCATGTTTTTAGAACTTGTGGCATTTGCTGGATAGAATTTGTCAAAAGTTTTATACAATAGTAAAAAGTCATCCAAACACAGAAACCTTATTTATTACCTAATCTGAAAGCCAGATGGATAAAGTATTTCACCTGTAAATTGTTTTAATTTTAAATCATTCACAATTTATTAAATTTGAACTCTACTGAATTTCTTGATTATTCTCATTAGATCTCAGGAGTGACCTTTAAATTTGGTCCTGGTCATATAGTTTTCCTTCCTCATAATGTAAGTACTCATTTGACTATCAGTGACTGTTCCTCTTTCTTGTGTGAACTGCTAAAAGTACAACCGGCGTTCTTTCTTCAAAGCCAAAGACCTAACATTAAGAACTTTATTTGGGGTATACCAAAAAGAAAAAAAGGCAATCAAATGAATTACTTCTCACATTTATGAAGGGAATCACCTGAGAGAAGCCCTGGTGGCACATGCCTGTAATCCCAGCACTCTGGGAAGTTGAGGCAGGTGAATCGCAAGCTCCAGCCCATTCTGAGCAATATAGCGACTTAGTGAGTCTCTGTCTCAAAAAACAAACAAACAAACAAACAAAACCAGCTGGGGACATAGCTCAGAGTGAAGACCTCATTAGGGTTTAAGCCCTAATGTCACACACACACACACATACACACACACACGAGTGTCAAAGCATTTCCTCAGTCACAAAGGCAGGTAAAACTATGAGGGATCCTTTTTGAGAATACCCTAACTTTTTGAGAATATCCTTCCTTTTTCTTTTTTTCTTCCTGGTAATTTGACAAGCTATTTAAAAGTCCATATTTTATGGTCCATGTTCTTCTTTTGATAGAGGGTTTTTTTGTGGGGTCTTTTTGTTTTGCTTTTTTGGGGTTTTTTTGGTACTGGGGATCAAACTCAGGTCCTTGTGCTTGCACAGCAGGCAGCTAAACCACTGAGCTAAATCCCCAGCCCCTTGATAGAGGGTTTTAATCAAAATTTGGAGAAAATAGATTATGGGCTTTAGTGTAAAGAACTTTAGCAAACACCTGAGTCAAGTTCTTCATTTATAGGTTAAAAAAAAACTTTTAGAACTCGTTAGCATTCTAGCCAAGACTAGATCCCAAACATATGCCAGTAACTAAATGAATACCATTTCCTCTAAAGGGTGCCATCTGTAGACCACCTTTCCTTTCAACATTGTGTACCCACTGAACATCCTCAAGCTGAATAGGCATCACTTTTGCTATTGTGATTTTGCCTTTCAGAGGTAACAATGGAATCGCTTTTTAAGTGGAAATGTCCGGGATGAAGGGGTCCTGGGAGCCAGGGTGGAGGCGGGGTCCGTAACCACGCTCTGTCTTCACCTTGCACTGGCATTCTTCCACCTGCATCACTACCTTGACCACAGGCGCAGGCCCGGTGCAGTTCAGCTGCAAGTGCAACGTGGTGAACTTGGCCGGGGCACAGTGGAAGCGGAAGGTGTGCGGGCGGGGTGCAGCTCCAGGAAAATGAACAGACCCACATTTACCAAAACAAAGGTTGTTCTGGACAACTACTTTTTCGCAGTCCTCATGGGTGACAGTCTAAAAGGCAAACACATTTATTTCTATTACATTATCTTGAGTCAGGCCCCTGATATGCATGATACAGAAGCTATAGTGTGTTTGTCAGGATAATGCCCAGTAAAATTTCCAAACCTTTCCAATGTTGGATACATTTGCAATATCCAAGTGATGGTATCTATTAGGGCATGAAGCCTCCTCAACTTAACTTAATTTATGGAGTAAATTATTAAATTAACCTTTAGAAAATTATCAAGTTAACATGAAAATAGCCTACATGATAAATATCAAACTAAAATGTTTCGTCTAGTTGGATATAACCAGTAGGAAAAATTCTAATAGCAATCATATGAGTATTGTGTCTTATCTTTCCTTTCTTTGTGTGCACTGTGCATTGCAAGTTGTCAATATATATTTGTTCAATTGATCATAGAATACACCAGAACACCATGAGTGTAACTGTATCTCATTTTACAGGGCCTGCAATGCATTCACATTTATGAAGTTCCGTGCAGCAGAAGTGCAGTGCCTGTGCATATTACATCATCTTTGCCTCTCTCATAACCCCATACACCTAGTTTTATGTGCTTTTCAAAATATGAGTCAAACTTCTTAACTTCTAGTTAATAAGCAATCACATTCAAAATAAAAATTTCAAAGGAAATTTGATGGCTTTATTTTTAGGAGCAATTTTGTAATTGCATATGGTCCAACAAAACAGTCCTTATTACTTTGACTTGTCATTGCTACATAACCTTGACCTTTCAGAAAGAATACTTAACTGCCTTCAGAGTCAATCCACTTAAAATAATGCCTACTTAATTGGGTAGTGTTACTGGACTGTAAAATCTTACTCTACCTTGCCTTACTTTTGGTTGAGTGTCTTCAGGTTTAAGAACCTGATGCATTTGTCAATTTCAGTTTAACATTTGCAGTGTGATAGTTACCAGGACTAGAGGAATTAGGTAGTAGAAAGCTCCTTTGTCTTAATAAGTAATATGGTATTGATCATGATAGTGATAAATCAGCCAAAACAACATGAATCAGGAAATAGGATGTGGGGAGATGTGATCGCACATCAAGATTGTTTTTCAAAATTTATGAGAAAAATCAGTTAAACTAAATCATTTTTACCATCATAATACTAAAAATGGCAACTTTGGGCTGAGAATCCCACATACTTTGAGGTTGTAGGGTAATTTTTTAGCAGTTAAATAGCTTTGACAACTGTTGAAGAAGATGTTCATAAAGCTATGAATTAGTTGGATGGGACCTACAGAGATTAAGAACATCATAACTGTATGTGAGCATGTCTGGGGAGGAGTGCAGTGTATCTCACCTATCTACAGATGGAGTGGACCTACTCGTAGACAGCCTCGCAGATGCAGAAAGAGAGTTACAGAGAGGTGATTGCCATAAATTCCCAATTTTCTGACTGAGGGTATAGTCTTACACTCCCAATATAAAAATAAATAAATAATACAAAGCACTAGATCAACAATATGATGATTACTGATATTGACAATAGCAGCACGCTCTTCTTGTAGCATCTCCAACATGCCAAGAAACAGTGGAGAGGTGAGAAGTCAAATCTAGGGAACATGTCCATGTTTTGCCAATCCTATGATGTGTGCCAAGGACCAAGTCCGGAGGTAGGTGAGACTCAGGCCCCCAGCAGCCTTGTCACCTCCACTCCACCTGCCCTGGCTGTCCTGCTCTCACAAACCCTTATCATGCCCTCCCTGGACACATACCTGGCTGAAGGGCACTGTCCTACAGGTCTCCTGATGCACTTCATGGCTTTTGATGGGCAGGACAACACCCTGAGAAGCTGGACCCTTTCTGAACATAAAGTGGTGCCAGAATCTCTTGGCTTCTTCCCAGACAGGAGATTTCTCCACTTTTATCCCATTCCTTGGCTGAGGGAGAGCTTGGGTTGTGAGTGGGAAGTACTCATTTTCCAAGTCCCTAGGAGGATGCAAGTCTCTCTGAGGCTTCTTCCAGAACCTGCCAAACCTGGACTGCATCTTCTCTCTCTGCCTCCGGCCTTCCTCTACCAGGCTGGTGCCTACCAGGTGTGGAACTGCGACAAACAGATCTGGCTTATCTTCAGCTTCCTCGGGGCTGGCCATGGGGAGCTCTCTTCGACTCCTTTCTAGGAACTCGAGGGAAAGAGCACTCTGACTCTGGTGGTCGTCCAGGCGCCAGCTGGCCTTCCCCAGAGGCAGGAGCAAAAGCATGTGAAGTAGGAGGAGATGCATGGTGCCAGAGGACAGCTCTTCCTTCTGGTTCACAGATGGTGAGGCTCGCTGCAGGATTGTGAACAGACAACATATATATAGAAACCTGCCTGGTGGGGGTGAGGGCAGGTGGTCAGTAGCCAGGCAGGGTAAACACATTGATTGTTTGCTTGAATTATGCAGTGTTAATGGAGTCCTGCCTTCACTCTAGTTTTGTGTAATTTAGAAGGCCCCAGTGAAAGCCTAGCACCCAGGGGGTATTTAGCAGACAGTTTAGCTATGGTCTGAGATTTAAAGGGTTGTGTTAGCAATAACAACTCATTCTTTGCCTGGATTTCCCAACCCTGTTATTAGAAGAAGATAGAGTCAGCTAACATTTGCTGAGCATCTGGATTGTGCTGGGACAGAATAGACATTATGTTTTTATGAGAGAAGTATAATGTAAAAATTAGGAGCACACATTAAGCAAAAACCCAGGCTTTTAGGAAAATGCACAGGGCTAAAGTGGAAGTATATCAAAATGGTAAGGGAGGGAAAGAGACAGAAGGGTATTAACTTTGTTGAGCAAGAGACCTACTGCCTTTTAATGATGTGTGCATTGGGCTTGGTGAACAGAGTAGAGGGATTCGGTGTCCTTTTCCACACGTGGAAATTCAGTTCCACGTTAATCCTCTCCTTTTAAGAACCAAATACCGGGTGTCAAATTTCACAACTGATCAGTCCTCAGTAAACCTTTCCAATTGTTCACAAATTTCTCAACAGGACCCTAAATAGCTGCGGACAACTCATCAGTCTTCAGTGAGGGTGGGGAAATGTCTTCTTAAGCTTTCTTATCAAATTTTCCTCTAGTTAAACAAAGAGCTAGACTTGAGACGGGGATTCTAAACACCACCATTGATAACTTTGGGCATGAAGCTGGCTGCCAGTTCCTAACCTCACTGAATCTACATCTTTCTTCATACTACAATAATTGATAACCAAGTTAAATGAGACCAAGATAAACAAGAGTCTTCAGGGATCAAGCGTAAACTTATTAAATGACTATTTGAAATCAGCCAAGGGTGTGAGAAACAAATCTACGTAACTGAAACGCCAGAACTGAATCCAATCAACCTGTGTCACCATTCCAGCAGTGTCCCCACTGGGAACCAAGGCAGTGCTTGCTTATATTTCCTTCCATTTTATTTTAATCAGTATCTTCTTTCCTTTCAGCCACACAAATAACCCTGGAATATGCCCCACACATACACCTTTTTGGTACTCATTAAGTTTTCTTCCAAGAACTGGTCTGCTGGAGTATGCTTTCCTGGCATTTGTGTTCTTGAGGTAAAGCCACAAGTAAGTTCCTCTACCTACAACAGTAAACTAATTGTAAGTGAATTGTCATTTTACCAGAATTCTGAAAAGAAATATATTTCCTTGTACCTAATATCCATAGAAACTGTGATAGTATTAAGGTGCCACTGATCCATACAAAATGAACATTAATGTTTGTCATTTCTTTTAAATTACCTTTTAAAAAATGCCTGCTATTTAAATTTCTTAAATTAAATGGAATTTCAGCCACTAGATCCCCTGCTAATAAAGGTGGTGTGAAATCCGGCTAAAATACCTTTTCTGATTCCCTTTAAACTACTTTTCAGCAACTAAAACTCCATTTCTATCAGTGTCTAGTAGTTCCCAGAATTGAAGACTAACCCAAAGTTTCCATCTGGGGTCTCAGGTTGCTCAGTTTGGGAACTGTTAAACATAGGATAAGGTTGAAATAATTTTTGTTGAATTGAAATTTGCGAAACATCCACTTTGTAAAGCCAAAAAATCTAAAATGTTAGATATAGGGAGATGACTGATAATACAATTTTGTTCCGTGTTCTCAAGCAGGTTAGATAGGCTAGTGATTCTATATGTTCTTTAACTTTATTGTATTATCTGTGGGGATTCAGTTACTCATTTTTAACCTTTCTTTAGACCTCAACTCTTCCATCTTCTGGACCTACATTTTGGTGTTTATAAAATCACTCCTGGAGACTTTTTGCTTTTCTGTCACTCCTGTTGAGAAAATGTATAATTATCCTGAAGGGTAAATCTAGCGAAATAAACCCTTCTGGGATGAGAAGCCTGCTCTGACTTCTGTCTTTTATAGCTAAAAGCAGGTGACTTTCATATTGGTCACTATTGAGTCCTCTCAGCAGTGCCAAAGCTACAAGAGTGAACAAGTTATGGTCCACTCTTAAGAGACTAAACAAATACGCCGTCGCATTAATGAAGCCATGCAGCTTCTGTCTCTTAGCTGACACAGACATTGAGTCCCCACTCAGCTTGGGTGGATCACAGGGAGACAGGTCTGGGGAGCCCTCTGGACACCGTGGAAGTTGTTGTAAGAGAGAATACCACAGTTGTTGATAGACTTTGTACCAAACGCCACTGTGAAACAGGCCCAAACCTGGCTGAGGAGCCCTGAGGGTCAGTTCTCTCCTCCTCCACCTCAGCCGTGGTGAGGGCCTGAGGGCCAGGATTTGGGATTCTTTCCCTCCAATTGAACAACTTGAGCCTAGTATAATCTGACTCTCTATTCAACTGGTCCTGGTTTTCAGAGGTTCTAACACATCCTCAGAATCCCTGGAGGACTTCATAAGATACCTAAATCAAATATGCTTCCTTATGCTAGTGACACTTACAAAACGGGTAGGCAAACTGGGCCACAACACCCAGTGTGAGTGTTGGCCTTTTGGAGCTGTCTGTGGGAGGACGGCTCCATTTCTGTCCTCCTTACAGTATCTCAGGTTCTGGAAAGAACTTAGAGCTCTCTGAGGAGAAACAGAGGCTGATTCTCTCCCTGAAAACTCCAGACTCAAATCAACAAAAGGTGAGAGAGGCGGCTTCGAGGCAGGAGATGAGCATGTGAGAGCTGGAAAAGGGAATCCACACTGATGGAGTTCGGGAGAAATCTTTGGAGTGCATGTCATTGCCTAATAACTACTTCTCTCTCTTTTTTTTTTCTTTGGTACCAGGGATCAAACTCCAGTCCTTGCGCTTGCGCAGCAGGCTGCGAAACCACTGAGCTAAATCCCCAGCCCACCCACTTCTCTTTTTAAAAGATAAAAGTATCACAGGCATTTAGATTACTTAAAAAAAAAAAAAGCCTTAAAAGAAGGCAGAATCTTTTTTCTTGTTTTCTAAAGGACAAGGAAAGGAGTAAAACGGTTTGCCCTTCAATCATTTTATCAGTAATTTACTAACTTATTTAAAATGTAGACCCGGTCCTGTCACACCCACCGCCTTCTTTGGAAGCACCCACCATGAGGGAGCCCCGACAGGACTGTCACTGGTTTACACAGCACTTTCTGAGTGCTGTCTCAGAAATGACTGGTAAGGGTGACCAGGATCAGGCCTAGTCTGTTTTGCAAACTGTACCAAGAATCTAGTTCAAAATAAGTTATATAAGGAAAATCTATACAAAGAAAACCACTCCTATACTAATCAGGAATTTTCAAGTATGCCAAATGCCAAAAACACATTCTGTGTGCTAATTTTATTCAGTAAATATTTGTTGAGTGCCAGAAAGCACAATTAACATTGTGCAATAAATTTCTTTTGTTTTTCAATAGGCAATAAATACACAGTAAAAATACATAGTAAAAAGATTCAATAATACCCCCCAAAAATGCACAATAAAAGGCAGATCTTCTGACACCTCTCCCCCATGCCAAGCTGTCCACCCCTGCAATGGCAGCAACCCATCCTTGGTTTCTTTTTCTTTTCTTTTTCTTTTTTCATGGAGGTAAAATCTCTGTTATTCTCTTTCTTCTTCATCTTTAAAATTTGACTTCATTGCTTTTCATTCTCCAGAATGCTGCTCTCAGAGGTGAGTAAAGCAAGTAGATGTCAGTTGGGTCTTGAACCCAGAAAAAGGAGATCCGATTCCTGGATCTGCCTTATGGCTTGTAAATGACAGGCTCTCAGGCACGAACTTGCATCCCTAAAATTACCAGGGACAACAATGTTCACCCTGTCTTGCTCATCTAGCCTATTGCTTTCTTTTCACCCCAAATCCTGCTATCATTCTGGGCTTCGGTATCCACAGGGATGGGGCCAACTATGGACACTATACCATGCCATCAGCCTCACGTGGACCCCCAATCAGTTTCCTAGCTGAAATCTGAAGATACCTACTCCACTCCCTCCCCATTTTCTTCCTATCTGTTCTTAGCAAGAACCAGTGCTCCTGAAGTGTGACACCCACTGCACTCTCACAGCGTGTTCTGTCCTTCCAGTTCTCACTCAGTTGCTCATGCGGCCTCTGTCTTCTACATTATCCCTGTCATAGTGCTACCACAATTGCCAATAAATAATATTTTATGTCAATGATTGCTTAACATCTGTCCCCACTTTCAATTTTAAAGTCTGAAAGTATTAGCTGGATCGTCTTAGACACTATCTCAGGCTGCCAACCAATTCCTTTCACATAGCACGTAAATACTCAAAACTACTGGCTCAAGAATTAATGGATGAGTTTATTCATTACTGGGAATCTATAAGTTCTCTGGTCTTCATTTTCTTTCCTATCCAGCTTGGATTTCAAGGTCCATCATTTTAAACTTCTGTAATATTCCCACCTTCCTTGTTCTTTACTCCTTATCTCGTGCTCATCTAGAAAAATTCCGGCCCTGGAGAGACCCAGCGGCCTAACTTCCCTGGGCCCACACCTGAAATCAAGAAAACTACCAGAGACAATGTGAAAACAGTGCACATTAATTCCATCTAATTTGTCTTCTGTCTTGAATGAACCCTGTTACTCACTGCCCAGCAATCTTTATTATTGCTCTAGTCAACTCTTCATTGTTCATATTGATTATTTAAAATCCCTAAGGATTTCAACCCACTGACTGCTTTACCTCTTTCATCAAAAGCAAATGACCTCACCCCCCTTTTCTGTGAGAAAGACAGAAGCCATCAGGTAGAGGAGTTTCCTCAAATGTGACCACAAAACCATGCTGGTTCATCTCTCCTTTGTCGTCTAC